GAGTTTTTCCTCTCCACTGTCGCTGCCTGCTCCTCCAGGAGTAGATAATCCTGTAAAGTCAACAACTGGATGATCTGATTGATCTGGATCTATAAAGTGACCCGGGATATTGGTGTGGAAGAAATAAACTGCTTAGAATAGAAACCCCTCCTGTCTGTGGTAATCAGATGGAAACTGGTCTGTTTCTGTGGACAGGTCCATCCAACCAGAACACCTTCAGGACTGAGTGGAGCCATAAAGCCCTAACCTTCTGGACCATTCTGGCCTCCTGTCATTCCAGACCAAAGTTTAAAGACTGATTTGATCTTTATTACTAAACCCTAAGTCCAGCTGCTTCCTCTGCTCTCCAGTCGTTCTCTTTGCTTTAGGTCTACAGCTGATGTCTTCAAGCTACAGTCATGGAGCAGCAACCTTCAGCAAACATCTGAGGTCCAATCAGCTGGAAGCTCTGACCTTTCTCTCCAGACGCTCCTCTCGGGTCTCCGCTCTGGTTGGTGGGGGGGCATCCCTCGGGTCCTGGTCCAAAAGAAAGGAGACATGGAGGTTAGAAAGAACACACATAAACAGATCAAAGAGGTCCGGCAGCAGAACCCTGAAGGTCCGGCAGCAGAACCCTGAGGTCCGGCAGCAGAACACTGAGGTCCGGCAGCAGAACCCTGAAGGTCCAGCAGCAGAACACTGAGGTCCGGCAGCAGAACCCTGAAGGTCCGGCAGCAGAACCCTGAAGGTCCAGCAGCAGAACAATGAGGTCCAGCATTAATTACCTCGAAGTGCCTGATGAACGGAGCGATGCCACAGTATGGTTGGTTGTGGTGCTTCTCGTGGGGGAGTTTCTCCAGCTGGGGGAGGAAGGGAATCGGGTCTCGAGGCGCAAAGAGGGCCAAGAGGTTCGGTGGGAGGAACTGGGTCATCTTTCACTGAAAAACCAAACAGGAAGTCCGATCAGAGAGAGCTAACATGTCAGAGCTGCTAAGGGAAGCTAACTGTTAGCAGAAACACAATGGTGTATCTGCTGCCTTCATCATCATCATCATCATCATCATCATGGGCCCTCACACCAGCAGCAGTCTGAACATCTGCAGCTCCTCTAATGAAGGAATCCGTCACTGAGGCTGCTTCAGTCAGCTAACCGCCATGCTAACAATGCTAACACGCGCTGAAGCGTCGCTCCTACCTTCTCTCCTCCGGTGTTCGGGGACTTTCTCACCATCGACCTGAGGAGGAAGCCTCGGTGTTCGCGGGTCTCCTTTTTCTTCTCCCGAACCAGCGCCGCAGCGGACCCAACAGAACCGTTCAGAGCTTAGAAGCAGCGAGCAAAGCGGGCCGAGTGGCTGGATGTGTTCAGCAAAGCAGCACGAATTCTCCACAATACAAAATGGCGGGATGTCGTAAAATAGGGGCTGCTGCCGTAAAACGAACCGACCTGACGTAAAAGTCAAACAAGCAGAGCTTCAAAACACAAAGCGGAGAAATAAATGAGTGAAGTTAGAGTGAAAAGGCTCCATCATCACAGTTTATTTATTAAAGTTCCACTAAAGGCGGAAATATTGAGTTTGGTTCCAGTTTTGGTATAAAAAATACTTAATAAAACAAATAATTGCTTATTTTGCAAATCCAAGGATCACTTAAAGCATTCCGATGAAAAGGCTCCAGACTGCTTCAAACTGACACATAACTAAATAATGTTCTGTCCAAACAGCAGCGGCTGTTTAACGTGAAGATTATTTCCTGAATTTTTAATTCATTGATCTAAAGCCATCCAGTTTATGACCAGCAGGGGGCGGTATTCACCTTTTTGTTTTTATTTGACCCTCCTCTTTCACACATATGTTGTACTTGTTCTTAATTCATGTTAATGTGGATCATCTTAATCTAACTGTAAATAGTTTATTAAAGCATTAATTTTCTCCAGCTGGTAAAATGATCAGAATGTTGGAAACCAGGATAAACTCTGATTCATCATCTCCACTGGAGCGACCTTCATCCTTCATGTCATGTCAAAGATTGGTAGAAAATTTCAGCAAATGGTTTATTATGGGAGGAAGAATTTAAATTGTTGTAAAAGTTTAAAATATATCATTTGAACGTCTGTCTATGGTTGTTTGTCAATTTGCAAAAAGTTTATTGCATTTCTTTCAATTCTATTCAGTTTATTTCTATGGCTCCAATTCACATCATGTCATCTCAGGTCACTTTCCAGTTCACCAGATCATCCAGTCAGATTGATTCAAAGTTTTCTATCTAAGGAAAACCAGCTGATTGCATCGACTCATTGACTCTTCAGCAATCCCTCACACTAAGCATGCTTGTAGCGACAGTGGAGAGGAAAAACTCCCTTTGAACAGGAAGAAACCTCCAGCAGAACCAGGCTCAGTGTGAGCGGCCATCTGCTGAGGCCCACTGGGGTTCAAGGAGACAGAAGCAGACATAGAAAAAGAAGCATAGATACAAAAGGCAACTGTCAACCAGCTCCACAGGCGGCCCCGTCCAGGAAACACACAGCCAGGCAGACGAGCTCCGAGCCAGCTCCCATGTCAGAGGATGAAGAGAGCACATCCAGTTAGTCACAGTCAGAGAAACAGGACTACACTGGAAAACAGGCCAAGCTCCAACATCTAGAAACAAAGGTGTTGATGGCAGCAGCACAGCTGATATTTCTCTCCAGGATGGAGTCACAGCCAAACAGGAACAGACCAGATGAAGCTACTATGAGAAAAAGCAGAGAGAGCAGAACGTTAGAGATTGAACTAACAGATTCTGCAGAGTGGGAGAATAGAGATAGAATGAAGCAGAATGATGAAAAAGGGGTCCCTATGTCCTCCAGCAGTCTAAGCCTATAGCAGCAGAACTATAGAGATAGATCAGGATAACCTGAGCCACTCTAACTAGAAGCTTTATCAAAAAGGAAAGTTTGAAGCCTAGCCTTAAAAGTAGACAGGGTGTCTGCCTCACGGACTAAAACTGGTAGTTGGTTCCACAGGAGAGGAGCCTGAGAACTAAAAGATCTGCCTCCCATTCTACTTTTAGAAATTCTAGGAACCACTAGTAAACCTGCAGATTGAGAGCGAAGTGCTCTGTTAGGAACATAAGGAACAATCAGATCTCTGATATCAGATGGAGCTTGGCCATTTAAGGCTTTATATGTGAGAAGGAGGATTTTAAATTCTATTCTGGATTTAACAGGAAGCCAATGAAGAGAAGCCAGGATAGGAGAGATATGATCTCTCTTTTTCATTTTCATCAGAACTCTGGCTGCAGCATTTTGGATCAGCTGAAGGCTTTTAACTACAGTTTGTGGACTTCCTGATAGTAAAGAATTACAATAGTCCAGCCTTGAAGTAACAAATGCATGGACTAGTTTCTCAGCATCACCCCTGGACAGGAGATTGCTCATTTTTGCAATGTTCCTCAGATGAAAGAAGGAAATTCTAGAAACCTCTTTGATATGGGATTTAAATGACAGGTCCTGATCAAAAACAACACCAAGATTTTTTACTTTATTATCTATGTAATTTACATTATTTTAGATCAGTTTAACCCATCCAGATAAAGTGACTAATGCCAAGGAGTCTCACTGGACAGTCAGCTTTTACAGGGTCCTGATTGACCTGGCATTGACTGCTGCCGCTGTAGCAAGCAGATGGAAGAAAGAACTCCACGTGGAACTTGAGGACTCAGTATTTTGGACTGATAGTAGCTGAGTACACATCAATAATAAAACAACCAGGTTCTGCACTTTTATTGCCAAAGGAGTTTCTGAAATTGCAGAAGTTTGGAATGCTCTAAAGTGGAGATGTTGATACAGATAACAACCCTGCAGATTTGGCTTTTAGATTTGGAGTTTAACAATTCAATCCTTTTTAAAGAAACATGGCTGACTGGGCCGCCCTTTATTCTGCTTCCACAGGAGGAGGGGCCTGATTATCCTGATGAAGTAATGGAAGTGTCATGAAACGACCCAGAAGGTAAAACAGCAGTGGATGGCGTTCAAACAGCACACCAAAGAGACACAGTTTCTCACTTCGCTCAACATTTTTCATCCTGGGTTCATTTAAAAGGCGCAGGTGGATTCTAAGAATTAAAGAACTGCTTTCTGCAATGCAGCAGAAAGGAGAAGCAGATTAAGGAGGACTCTAAACACGAACTTAAACTTCAAAGGGAGAACATCTAGAATGACGATGTTCCTGCTTCTGTTTTCTTCCCTCTCAGCAGTCCTTTTCTCATTGGGTTTAATAAAGACCCTTTGGGATAACCACAGTTCTTCATGGCTGTCCTGATAATCCCTGTTCTCTCATCCTTGTCCATCTTTCCATCTCTATATTAAGTTGCCCATCTTCCTATTTCTATAATGTAATTGGGACCAGGAAGATAACAGATCTGTTGCTGTAGATACACCTAATGCTGCCAAAAAGCTATATTCTTCTTCAAAGCCAGAGTTGTTATCAGTGTAACCAGACCATACACAGCACACATGTCGTGCCACTAAGCAGAGTAAACCTTTGCTTCTGTGATCAGCTCCCTGACCAACTCTACCTCCACTGGTTCATGAACCTGCTCCAACTGTACCGTGTTAGTAAAGGTAAAGTTAAGGTGTTTCACGTCTACAACTAAATCAGCCTTAGATTTCATCACAGGCCCAACCCAGAGAGTGTTGCTCCCGTTTAGGAATCAATCAGTTCTTTAATGTCTTCAGATGAGATTTCCATCCTCACGTGAAATAAATATTCACTTTGGCCCTTGAGGTGTATCTGAATACCGCACATAAAGGGTTAATGTTTTACGCAGGTTACATTACAGTGAGATCAATAGGCCAATAGGATTATGTGTGTGTGTGTGTGTGTGTGTTTAAATAGTGTTTAATTATTATTTTGTTGTTTTCTTGTTAGTTCCTGTCTTCCAGGTTTTCCATTTGTTGTCCTCTGCTGCCCTCTTGTGTCCTCTTTCCCTTGCTCTGTTTTCTGCTCTGTTTCCTGACTGTTTCCAATCCTCTCGTTAGCCCTCTCTTTGTCTCTGTCCCCTTTAAAAGCCTCCCTCTT